ATATATATATACACAGTATAATCAGCACGGGTGGAGGGAAACAGGATGTCTACAAAGCCAAGAAAGAGTTAGAGGGACAATCTGTCAACTTTAGTTTCAGCAAACAGGATCACAACCAGCTCCAAAAGCCACAGACACACTCAATCTAAAACCTCTGCAAGCCTCACAGACCAACCAGCATACATTCTGTTATCTTCCGGTGCCATTATCTGCATCACTTTATAGGATTAACATGCGTCCAAAGCAACATTCAAACCCCATGTGGCAGCTTTATTCTCCCAGCGAGACACTGATTCCAAACATTGTGATCACTGTGACCAGTTAAAGCAAAGCAATGTCTGCTCATGACCCTTTGTTACAGGTTGCGAGCTGCAACCAATTGCACCAAATGCCAACAAAAAGCAAAAAAATAGAAATATGATGTTTTGGGTTGGGTTGGGAATCTGTGAGTGACACACAAGCAACACACTGTTTGACTTGACGGTATACAATCAGGACTTAGTACTTTCTGAGCAGTTCTTACAAAGCTCTTTGTTTCAGGATCAAATGAAACATTGAGGGTTTTTTTGCAAAATACATCAATATTCAGCAAAAGTAGATACTGGAAATATTATTGTTTTGATAATAGTATCAATTTTATTTATTGAACCCTGATCACAAATTTGACTCCATTCTGTGCAGCATATACACTCTCGCTCCTTAGACCCTGGATTGGAAGCATACGCGGTCTTAAATGTTTTCCCTAAACATTCAAGGCATAAAGATTAATAGCAGCCCTAAAAAGCTGAGTAAAGTCTATTACGCAAACAAAAGACTGCCTGAGCCTGACTATTCCACATCCCTAAAGCTGCCCATCAAAGCTGCACTAAGTTTTTCAAGGCCACAGTTTTCAGTTGGAGTTCAGCAGAGTGGTGCTGAATGGACAGCTCCCGCTGCCCGGGGTGCCATTTGTCATCATTCCTTGAACCCCGACGTACAACCTGCTCCTGGTTCAGGTCGACTTGCGATGCGCATTAATATTTGGGTCGACTGAGAGAACCGTTTGGAGTCGCGGAAACGAGAAAAGCCTGCCACCCCATCCCGTCTGCTGAGATGCATTCACACCGCGCAGCTAATGCCCCGCGCTGAAAATGAACCCCTTCACTGTCAACAAAGAAGCAGAGGAGACCAAAAAAAAAACGCATACAAGTCCGAAGTCTCGCCATAATGCATGTTGCGTGTTGTGCACAGAGGAGTACGGGCGCACAGCGGCTTATTGCAAGTGGTCGACGGGTCGAGCACGCATTTCTTACCCGGAGTTTTCTTTTGGTGCAGTAGGGAGGAAGGAGCAGGAGGAGGAGGAGGAGGAGGGGGGGTAGACCAACTCCACCGCGCTCCCTTCTTCAGGCGCCTCTCTCCATCCAATGACACCGGTGCCGGTCCGGTCTGTGTGTCCCGGAGGTCTCGTGGACGGGAGGGAAAACGGCGTTCACAATCCCGTTTTCAACGCATATCCGGCCAGCTGGAGGAGGAAGATGAGCAAAAGGTGGATGATGAAGAACAGGAGGAGGATTTATCTTCCACTCGGAGTAGACCGGCTGTTTGTGCTGCCGCTCGCTGGAGTCTGAAGAGCTGCTGCCAGAGGCATATTTCTGTACGAGCCGCAGCTCACCCCCCGACCGACCGACTGCAGAAAGAAAGAAAGTCCCCACCCCTGCAGCGCAACTTCCACCGCCGGGCCGCTCAATAACACGACCACCGCCTCCTCCTCCTCCAAGGCTCCACAGCAGCAGCAGCACCGAAGAAGACCTGCGGGCTGCACACACACACACACACACACACACACACACACACACACACACACACACACACACGCACGCACGCATATCGGGATATGTGTATTACGCAACGGGTGCATGGGTAGGTGGGTGGGGTATTTTAGGGACACCCAAACTTTTCTTCCTCATCATCCCTCCTCAAACTGACGCCCACAAACAAACTAACTTACCCCAGATTCTGTCCCAAGAACAAACCTCTCTTCTCTTCTTCATCACCATGTCAGCCCTTGGGGATGATTCAGTGTGAAATTACATAACTAGATACTGGAGGTGGGCAGGGTGCAGCGATGACACCTCTTATAATACACTCATGTTTAGTCATCCTCTCATTGTGGCAACTTAAACTATAGGCCCACTCCTCAGCCCGCTGCCATGCTGTGCGAAGCCACTTCTCATTACACTTAAGTCGTTAAGTCATTCTTATGAAGGGTTTATAATTATGTATTTGTGTTAATACATTATTTATTATTCCTTTATGGATCACTACAGTCAAAGTCTGTTAATTATTAATGTATGGGACTCTTTTACTTTGTCCAACGTTTTAAGTAAATCATTTCTATTTATCCGGCATATGATGCGTGATCAAAGTTGTTATTGTGAATGGTGAAGAGTAGTGACTCCCCTCCACTTTGCTGTCATCCTCAACCCGCTGTGACCATTCAGTCCATCATCTAGCGACAACCATTAACTCACATTTCTACCTTCATCTTTATTTGAGCTTCCGTAACAGATGGTAATATATTTTTCATTGTTACCTGCTGAGGATCTCCTACAGCCCCCTGACCCCGGTCTGGCCTGCTGTGACCTCATTCAACTAGATTATTGATTAAGTATCACAATGCTTAAACATACTGGAGCTTCACTCTGGATCCAGACTGATGAGCGTGATTACTGCCAACAGTAAATACTCACCACAGCTTAAAGCAGTGGATTTCAATAGGTCCTCCTGGAAGACATGCACAACATCACCATCACCTATGCAGATGAGGGTCAGGATAATAATGTACAAACCTACATTAAATGTACCGTAGAACAGGATGCAGTTACTGCAGATACTGTGCTCTTTGGTTACACTTTCTCTGGTTTTTGTTTGGTGGCCATGTTCTCGGCTGAAACTGTGACACTGGATGACGGATTAAGACAGAAAAACAAACAGAACCGGAGGAGCAGGAATAATGGGATTAGGACTCTTGGTTTGCCAACAGCTGATCAGTCTGATCAAACAAACCTCTGCGACCCGAAACTCCACTTGAGGCATTTCCCTGACGTCCAACATGAAATACACTAAATCTGAAAGGTCAGAAATAAAGTAACAGAGTCAAGACAGTCTAGACAGCATCATGGTTAAACTTTGTCATCATGAGGCTCTCTAGATGCTTGGATACATTTTTGCTTTCACATTCGTCCTGTAAAATGAGAGTCAACGTAAACACTAACAGTTTACAACAGCAGGAGAATGGTGCATTCTGGGTTTTCTGTTGCCTTTTGAGTGTCTCCCTCTGCTGGTGGAGCTACTGTAGTGATGTTGGCTGTCCGTTTTTGTCAGCCACTCAGCTTTGTATTAAAACAGATGAAATGTCAATAACGTGTTTTAGTTAGACGTACATACCCTGACTTTTGTTAAAATGCTCAGTTAGAGTCCCCTAACTTTACTGGTCAATACCGTGCAGGGAAGAAATGTGGTGCTTTGGGGATGCTGTTGGGAACTATAACTAAATATGAGTATCTTTAAAAATTAAATCTAACATTATGAAAAACACCCATCGATATACGTAGACATCAGAGTTAAGATTAACTAAATAACTCTCTGGACTCCCACACTGCTCTCAATCTCTGAGATACACAGGCCGCAGAAAAACACAAGAAGTTCAGAATCCTATTCAAACACTCAAGACTGCAGGTTTCTCTCGAGCTCTTTGGTTGATGTTGAAACCTCAGAGAAGATTAATATGTTTCCAGTTCTAGTATGGTCATTGTAAATAATTAAAAGGCTCATTATCAGCACAGGGCTTGTCGACGGTTCCTATTTGGTGAAATCAGTGGACTGATGAAATCTGTAGCATCAGTCCAGGCTCAGAATGACTGGAAATAAAAGGTTTTACTGCATAAACTATTAATAATCTACCCAAGTACACACCAAATGACTTGCATAGCAGAGAAATAGACTATAAAATGAATAAAATGCCACTTCTGTCTTTTTGCAATCAGTCCAGTTATTATAAACTCTTGTTATTCTCTACTGGAGGGTTAAATCAGCACAACAGCAATAACACAATGGCACCAAGTATATATATAAAAACATATATTTATTGTTCTGTTACTGTTGGTTAACTTCATCAACAATAAATGGTGGCAGGCCGGGAGACAAACTGTACACATATTAATAGAAAGCCTTAGAGAGCTTCGCTTTTTCTGTTCAGTGGCAATTAACAATGCAAAGAGAGAGACAGAGCAAACAAACAGTGTTCGCTGTCGGCCGCACAGTTGATGAATTTAATGGTGCGCTCAAAAGTCCTCCTTCAGCCTCTTTTCAAAGTGGTTCATCTCCTAGGCAGATACCTTTACAAGAGGGGTAAAAATACTGTACATTGTTCTGTGTATTCGCCGCGCTGCTTGAAGAATGAGATGTGATTCACGTATCCTTTGTTCAGGACAGTGAGAGCTACTCCGAGGACGAAGAACGTAAAGTAAAGCTTTACAAATGGATGAATGATATTTAGACTCTCTAACGACAGAAATAGAGGTGCACCGTACTCGACAAAATAGTGTGTGGATTAAAATAGATAAAGGTTATATATATTTATACTATGTATACTATATAAAGGCTTGAATCTCCAGATTCAAGGACAGCCACCAGTGCTGTCCACACACATTCCTTCGCACACAAAGCCTTTAACGCTGCAACAATCTCACACCTGCTTTGTCTCTTTTTGCTTTCCGCTCCATGGACCATAACGTCTCGTACTAGTACTGTACGTCTGCAGTAAAAGGATCACAGTATCCTGATCCCAAACGGACCCCCCTCCCCTCCCCCCAGTGACAAGCTGAACTGCTGCAGTTAACCAGAGCAAATATAACGTAAACTTGAGAACGCAGTCTGAAAGCATCGTCCGCCTGGAGGCATATCAAGGGGAGATTTTACTCAGAAGTAAACAGAGCACTGTTATCTTTTGAGCTGAGATGCTTTTCGGGGTGTTTGATCATCATAACAACAAATAAACTCATGTGTATTGATTTCTACGAGGAAGCAGAGGCTTGTGTACATGCGACACTGACTCCAGGCTGAAAGGTACAGATCAATAACCCAGAGCTCATTTCATTAAAGCAGAATGAATGTGTTGAGCGACGAGCAGCGAGCGTCAATGCAGGATCTGTTGTCCTGTTGGCCGGGGAACAACAACGCGGACGGCGAACAAGGCGGGAGGAATGGGAGCGAGTCTCAGTGGCTGACTTTCTCTCGGAGGCTGTGGTCGATTGTCCAAAGAGTTCATGCGTGAGACTGAGTGGTTCAGCTGGAAGATGAGTGCGTCTCCGAAAAGTGCACGAGACCAGGTCCAGATGTCCGTTTCAGTCCAGGCAAACTTTTATATTCCACACGCTGCAAAACAAACCAAATCCAGTTCTCAGTCTCTCCCGCGTCACCGTGCTCTCGGCCTCCATCGAGGAGCGCCGACGGTCGGACCGAATGTGCAAAATGTCATCCGTGAACGCAGAACCGTTCGAAAACAACTTGACAAAAATCAACACTATGGACAAAGAACTTTTTGCAGTGCCTGAACACATCCCCGTCTCCCATCCACTGTGAGAAGCTCTCAACACCGAACTGGTTCTGAATTTGCAGAATTTGAACTGAAGTGAATCAGTTTATGTGCCACAAAACTAATGTACAAAAGTAAAGACTGCGTAACACATGTTCATACGCTGTTACCTAACGGATATGACAAACAGCGATACTCATTGCACATACTCACAAGAAACCAGACCAACAGCCGGGGCAGTCGTGTCCCGTTTGAACTCCAAAGCGTCTAAAAGCTCTGAAGACTCCTCAGTGTTCATCACCTACCTCGTCCAAAGCCGTGTGCACAAGTGTTGAGCACGGCATGAAACAACAGCTTTAAGGGTCAACGTTTGTTCATTTCAACTCCAGACCGGCTTAAACCATAAAGACTGACATTTCAGAGTGTCTGCTGTGCAAGTTTTGGGAGTAACAACAAATCTAGTTACTGTAACAATGTACTCATGTCTGACTGTATTTTGTAATAAACTATAATACACATTTCTGGTAAAAAAAAAAAAAGTATCTCTAGCTGCCTAAATGGACAATTTGTGGCAGATCTTTGGCTTCAGTGGTCAAACATATTTCACTTTTGCATCAGTCTAAGATAAGAAATCAAAATATCTCACTGTGATTAGATTTTGAAGACCAATCCATCAATGGATAGAACGTTTCTTTTGAACTTTCTTCTTCTTTCCGATTCCCTTCATTTCATATGACCTCCCTTCAATCTGTCATTTGACGAATTGATAGTTCAGTTAAATCTCCATTTTTTTCTAACGTTTCCTTTTACAGTACTTTGAGGGAATCTAACTTTTCTTTAGAATATTAATGTGTAACACAAAAAAAATAAAAAATCTAAAATGTATTCCATTTGGCAGCAAACCATCTCTAATCTGTAGCGATCACAACTCTGCACTCTTACAGAGCTTAGCTTAAAAAAAACCAAGAAAATTTAAAATTTGGTAAAATCTCTTCAATGTAGAACTGGTGGAGTGTTTTTAACGCGTGATGAAGTGAACAATGAATATGCTGTAATGCTTCAGTTTGTCTCAGTCTGTGGATCGTCTTGTCCATGAAGAGAAAACAGACATTTGCACAACCAGCTGTTCAGTTTTCGGTGAAGCCCTGTGGCTGCTGCAACAACAAAGCTGACTATTAGCTCACATCACACATTAGCGTCAGCAGAGGGACCGCACGGGGGGGGTTTGGATCTGTTGCCATAGTAACAGCTGGCCGGAGGGAACTCAGAGCGGCTGTGCCTGAGTCAGGTGGAGGGTGTGCGCGTGGTGCGTTTGAGTTTGGCTCGGTGCTGCGTGCGCTGGTGGCTGGCTCTGGTTCTGGGACTGCTGCAGGATGTGCACCACCCGGCTCAGGGTGTCCGTGGTGGCGAACGCCAGATACTGGCAGCATAGCCAGTCCTCCAGGCTCACGCCGCAGGCCGCGTCCAGCGAGCGCTCCGCGAACTTGATCATCATCAGCGTGCGCTTCAGGTCCAGCCAGTTCTGGAGGGTGGCCTCGCGCTGGCTGGTGGTGGCCCCCGACATGGGGCCCGTGCTGCTGCAGCCCAGCGCCTGGAACAGGTCCTCCCGGGGGCCCCAGAGCAGGCACTGCAGGCAGGCCCGGGCCTCGGACATGCGGATCCGTTCAGAGGGGTTGACGGTGAGCAGCAACCGGGCCAGCTGCTGCAGGCCCTGCGAATAGAGCGATCTGACGGGCAGCGGCGGCAGGTCCGCCCAGGTGTACTCCCGCTCCTTCAGCTCCGGCGTCTCCTCGAAGGGGTTGGGCCGGTGCAGCGTCTCGTAGATGAGGATCCCCGTCTGGAACTCGTCACACTTGCGGTACTGTGTCGCTGTGACAATCTCGGGCGCCAGGCGCGACTGGTCTCGCAGCGTACCGGGGTCGGCGGCCATGAGGGTGCTCTTCTGTTTCGCCTGTGAGAAGTTGCTGATGATGAGCCGGGCGGGGCAGGTAGCGTTGGCGGCAGCGCCGGCGGAGGTCGCACTGGAACCGCCACCACCGCTGCTGTTGCTGTTGTTGTTGGGCTCAAGAACGTCCAGGTTGCCAGGTTGGCAGTGGACCAGCAGCAGGTTTTCCAGTCGCAGGTCACAGTGGGTCACGTGGTACGGTTTCATGTGCTCCAGGCCGGAGCACAGCTGCAGCAGCAGGAGACAGACCTGACGCTCGTACAGCTCCGGGTTGTGAGTGTGTCGCGCCGCGCCTTCTCGGACAAAGTCGGCCACCGTCTGGAAGGGCACCTCGCGAGTGATGACCACCACTCGGCTCCTCAGGCGTGTGTTCATGTGACCTGCTGTTCGGGTTTCGTCCAATTTACCATTTGCCGTCTCCTGGGTTTCAGTCTTAATCTCTTTCTCTTTCTCCTTCAGCCCGTCTACGTCCTCCTCCTCATCCTCTTCCTCCTCCTCACCTTCTTCCACTTCCCAGGGCAGCAGGCGGGCAGGGACGTCCGCCAGGAAGTGTCCACAGTCTTGCTGAATATTGAAGTGCACAGCCAGGCTCTGTCTCACTGCGAGGCTGTGGAAGAACTGCTGCTGAGTCTCCTTCACTTTGCTCCGACAGATCTGGAGATAAGAAAGACAATATTTCATTACTTTTTAGGATGAAGCTATTTGCGAATTGAAAATAGACTCTACTACTAAAGTATTGCCTGTGTAAAAGCCCAATATATCTTCTTCCTCTGTGTCATAGAGCTCCATTGTTGTACAAGAACCATTAATAATGCACTTTCATTGATCTATATTAATATGAACATGGGCACTGTGCTTTAATTTGAGTCAAACTCACACCGTCCTGCTGCTAGACGGTGTGAGATGCAGCCTCTCTGAGTAACGTTCGTTAAGAAGTACAGAGCCCAGCTGCTTCAAGACATGATTCAAATTAAAAACATTGTTTTTTACCTCTTATTTGAGAGCTGTTTTAAAGATTGACATCCTCAGTAAGGATGAGACGGACAGTGAAGTCTGAGAGCACCGAGAGCCAACCTGAGGGCCGCTGGGGAATACTTTATCAGAGCCAGGTCGGATGGCGGCTTTTCCGACCATGTCGGAAGTAAAAAGTGTTTAAAGTTGCTCTGAACAGCCATGCTCAAAGGTTGGGTGGATATAGGGGGAGATGCAATACCAGCACACATTTTAAAAGAGTGTCTGCCGGGAGACATTCGTAGGGTTTCACTCAGCTGTTTGCATGCAGAGTGAAAAGAGAGCTCGCTGGCCCCCTGACACGTTGATGCTTTTGGTGTTTTCATGGACCAAAGTGAATACGTAATCATGCCAGCCTTCTCCTATAACACGCTTGAAATGTCATTAACATTTAAATGATGAAACCTGATGACTGTACCTTTGTTCATTTAAATGTTTATCTTGTAGAAAATGATATGAAGAGACTGCTATACATTTTGATGAAATTAAATAAGCAGAAATTTCCGCAGGAGACTTTTCAACAAACGGCAATCTCACGCAACATCAGCACAAACAAAAGAATCCGTTTGAGCACAGGAGAACTCAGAGATCAAAGATGTGTTCTGTCTCGCTGTGTTTCTCGTGAACACTTCTGTTAATGACATATAGAGCGGAGAGAAGCAGCGAGCAGACGTCAGGTTGCCAGCGACAGCAGCGAGTGAGAGTCTCCGTCTCCTAAACCTCTGCAGCTCTCTGCAGCTACACTTTGATCATAGCACAGACGAGACGAGCCGAGTGACGGAGAGGATCGCTCTCTGCACACATTCACTGAAATACCAGCAGAGAAGTCCCGACATGTTATTGAGATATTCATGGGAGAAAATCTAAACATTTCAATAAATAAAATGATTGAATTTGATCTTAAGACTTAGAAAAAGTGAGGACAAAAATAAATGAATTCAATAACACAGCAGGTATAGTGTTAAGAAGTATCATTTCTGGTATCCTGTATTGTTAAGGATGACATCATTTGTCTGATTTCATCAAAGGGGCACTGCATTTTATTTGTTTCTATAGCACATTGAGTGTCTAATGCACACCTGGTAGGGAAACGTAATCATGCAAAATATTATAATTAATTAGCTTGTTTCCTCTCATACTAAACTTAATTTTGACGTTAAAAATTAGATGTTTACGTAAGAATATAATTATGACAGCATTATTAAATTATTAATATTATTTTTACTATGTACCATTAGTTTTGTCCAAACTAATTGAAAGGTTTTTGACATTTTTCCCCCGACATATTCAAGTTTAACGTTATGAACCGCATTCCACCGTTTGTATTACATCAGCCAAAACAATTGCTACCTCGGTCATTTCACTATTTTATTTCTGTTAGGCGGCTTGAACCTCGGTGGTGTCTTTGACATACAGTTTAATAAATTGTGATCCGTGTAACTGTTTAGTAATGTGCGTGTTCACTGGATCTCTGTTTAGACCTGTTGGCTCTGAGACTCCAGCTGCCTCCTGGTCATTCTTTGAGGACATGTTTGTAGACTTTTCACTGTTAAGATCCATATTGTTTACGCAGTATTGCTATTTGTAACAAAGCTCCAGGTTAACAGACACTTCTATGTGTTGCTCCCTGTTGATTCCTTAAAGCTGACACTCACTCACTCACTCAGAATTCCTCTGAGAGTCCAGAATTCACGCAGACATGCTCAAGGTAGATTATGAATAATTAGTACCGCATTAAAAATATCACACAGGTTTTGTTTCACAAGGCCGTGCCCTGAGGGCTCAAAGTTTAAGTGCCAATATTTCTGCACAAACATCTTCCTCCACTTCGGCGGAAGGAGTGGGAGGAGATTCCTGAGCACAAAAACTCAAAGGATTTCATAAATCTACTGCAAGGACGGCAACCACCAGACTCCATCTCAATGCAGGGAAAGCAAAGCAAGGACCCAACAAACAAACAAATACAAATGAATTCAAACTAATAAGATGCTGTAAATCAGGGGTTTGTTGCTTGTTTTAGTCCATCTGGATGGTTGAAAACTTGAAATACTTTGATTGGAAAGTGTTTCAGGGTCATACAAAGTCTGAGGATGTCATGATCGCAGGTATAGGTTATCTGCATTAGGGCTGCAACTAACAATTATCTGTATTACTGATTAATCTGCTAATTATTTCTTTGATTAGGCCTATGAAATGTAAAAGAAAGAGTTTTTTATAAAGTATACAATTCCACAGAGCCTCAGGTGACATCTTTATATGTCTCGCTTTGTCCAACCCACATTTTGAAACCCAAAAATATTCAGTTCACAAATTTATAAAAGAGAAAAAAGAAAATCCTCACACTGGACAAGCTAGAGCAAGAGAACGTCTTAATTTACTCCAGATCGACAAATAGTTTTATCAAAGTATCGCTGAAGCGCTGACTTTACATCTCTCTGGGCCCTGAGGCTAGAGGCAGCATGTTTAAAGAGGAACATTATGCTCGTGTTGTGCTGTGCATGACAATGGAAGTAGTCAATCTGAAGGCTGATCTATAAGCAGAGCCGGACATCTCACCTTGATGGCGTAGTTGACCAGTGGGTCCTTGGCGTAGGAGGCGGTGTAGTACACAGCATCCCCTGCCTCACAGCAGGGCTTCCCAGTGGTCAGCCTGAAGTGGGACCAGCTGTCAGTGCCGAATCCCAAGTGATCCTTCTGACCAGCCATGAAGCGGTCCTCGCACTTTGTGGCCAGTTTGCGCAGCGTGTCCGTGTGGAGCCCGCGAATCCTCCCCACCACCTCATCCCAGCTGTCCAACCCCCTGTACAAAGCCGGTCTCTGGGGTTTGGAGCCTCCAGCAGCAGCAGCAGCAGCAGCAGCACCTCGACCTGTTGTCCGGCCCCTTCCAGCCAGAGACTCTGTACTTGGGTAGGCCCTCCTCTCTCTGCCAGCCGTGGCTGCAGCAGACGGAGCTTGAGCAACCAGAGAGGACGTGCTGTTGGCCGGGCGGCCCTTGTTGGTAGCCGCGGCAGCTGCTGGCCTCTCCAAGGAGTCACCGCTCTCGTGGTCGTGGACCCGATGAGGCTCGGAGCTGAGAGAGGAGTCTTGACTCGCCGTTTCCCAGGTGGAGTCCAAGTCGTAGATCGGGTTGGCCACGCTCAGGTTGGTGCCCCCAGGTCTCGCCTCAGCCCGAGATCTCGGGCCTCCCTGGACTGACTCTTTGCCCGCCAGGCTGGGTTCGGTGCTGGAGCGCGGTACAGCCTTCTTAGGTAGTGGTGGTGGTGTGGCCTTAGAGGCTGGCTGGTCTGCAAGGCCGTCCAGGTCGATGGAGGCCAAGGTGTCGTTGGATGCTTTGATGTTTCGTGGCTGTTTCAGTGGGATCATGTTGGCTCTGGACTGACCTGGAGGGAAAGGAAGACAACAAAGTGTGTATTGCTATAATAAGAATATAGAATATGACAGTAGAAAGTAACAAAGTTCATTGAATTCATTATTGTACAATTTAAATTTATACTTTATAATTTCTACTCCACAACATTTCAAAAGGTAATATTGTACTTTATACTCCACTGCAGTTTTTACATGATCTCAAAACACAATCACCTTATAATTATATATTATGATGCTAAAGTTGTGTTGTCATTTTTACAAGGACTTCCCACTCGTTGCCGTTTAAATGAGGGTTTTGGATTGAACTTTTTCCTGTGGGCAGAAAATCATTCATTGTATAAATGTTGGCCAACAAATGTTTCAGGACTTTAAAGGTCACGACTGGATGAATAAGATATGTATAAAGAAAAAAAAGTATCAAATGTGATTTACTGAATGTGACTTTCACAAAAGTCAAAAATCAGAATTCCTAACAGCTGAAAAGGATAAAAATTCCAGACTCTTCCCTCCCCCGAGCTTCTTGTTCCTCCCACATGGCGTTTCCAGCCGCTCACTGGCTCGCTGCCCCTCATGAAGACGGGAGGCCGAGGTTGTGTGCTGCGGCACGTGAGGGATCTGGTGGCCCTGAGCAAGATTGGAGCCAGAGAGCAGGACAGCTGGGCACAAGCTGTACCCACCAACCATCCAGCTGCCCGAATCAATCTGCAGCTCGGTTGTGCACTGGGGCTTAAAAACAGGCAGCATGGAGAGCACTTTCATCACTGGCTTCAAGTGACCTTATTTTTCTGGGATTGTGGTGGTTGGGAATTTGGGGGGGTTGAGGGGTTGATTGGACTCCCTCGATGTCCTCTGGAGTCGAGGACCACAAAGGCAGACGGGTCAAAGACAAGTACCTGACAAGATGAAGAGGACAAAGCCGTGCAGCGTGCATGATGGGAATTCAGTACGTTTTAACTGAATGTGTGCACGAGGTCACAGACAACTCTACTGCGCAGACGAGAGGCTGCAGAGTGTTTTAAGATGATGTCTTTCAGAGTCACATCTTTTGCCAAATTACTTTTCCCGTCCCCACGGTGAAGGCATCTGCTTGAAGAAACCATTTCCCAGACTGCTAACTGATCAAATTATTGTTAAACAATATGAGTGATGCGAGTCCTCACGTGTGCGACACACACTGCCATCATCTTAAGAAAGCAAAAGAAGCCTTAAGAAAGAGTCAGGATGAAGTAAATGAGTCTTGGTAATCCTCCCTGGAACGGGGAGGCTCTATTTAATGTGTTCCTCCACCAATCTGCAGTAATCCATCCAAGGAAACAACAGTCTCCCGCGTCCAGTCGCAGACGTCTTTTATTGCAGCAATGTGGCTGTGATTTAACTACATTACATAAGACTAACTCCGTCTGTGATTATCAAAATCAAGAATACGTTTCATAATCATAATACACAGGGATAAATGCGATGATGAAACAACCTGCATGGACTGGTTGAAACCCCATATGGCTCATGCGAACAGATCACCTTACAACAAACAACTTGATGAAATAAGGAGTGCTAATTATCTGCTAAGTATCATTTACAATATTGATTAATGTGGCAATTATTTTTGGGGTTGATCAATTACTTGTTTAAAAAAAATGGCAAAATCGGAATGTCAGAATAAATTGAAAAAATGGCCTACGATTTTAAAATGGAACCTGCTTTCCTGTCTGCGCCTGTCAATTCAATTAAACAAAGAAACAAGCAATGCAACAGATGACAGCGTGACCGATGAATGGTGAGAGTGAAACCCCCCAAAAGATTCAAAACACACTGCTGTTCAACTAAACTGTGTTTGACCCGTGTTCATCTCCAGGAGATAAAACAGCGGAGAGTCCCAATCCCTCCAAAATCTGTTCCGGATTAAAAATAGATAATTGCATTTTCTTCTCCTCTCGAACACTGAGCCTCATGTGTCCAAAACAACTCTTTAGCTACTGCCTTCTATTTCCTCAACATTAATCCGGGTGCCACTGCCAACACATGCATCACACATTATCTGGCAGGATTGGATTCATGATTTCTCTTGAAGTGCACAATTCACAAATGGTACAGAATAATTAGCTATTTAGGTCATCTCCTCATAGAGTGAAATAAAAATGTATTGATGTATAAAATCTATATTAAATACCTTTGAAAATGCCTCATTAAGGCAATGCATTCACAAGTCCAGAGAGCAGCATTCACCAACATTTCTTTGCGAGGAGATGAAGGAACTTGTTGCCGTAGCAGAGTGATTACAGTTTAGCCATCGTGCTCCAATAAAACGATGGAGGAAGTGGGTAGAATAAAGAGGAACAGAGGGGAGGAATGAAGCCAGAGAAGAAGAGTGGGTGGTTAGAGGTGGTAAAAGTGAGAGAAGTGACAGAGGAAAAGAAATGCAAAAGGGCAGAAGGGGGGTGAGCAGGAGGGACACGGTACTAGAGAGAGAAATACGAGGGACAGGCGGTTAAAGAGAGGAATACTGAGAGATAAGGAGGAAAAACAAGCCTACCTCAAATCCACTAATGACTCAAAGTTTTTAGGCAAACGCGGTGCAGCAGCAGCGCAGGGAGGCAGACTGAAACGTTTTTTCCCCTGCATCCCTGAGAGTGTGTGCCCGGTGCCAACAGGCAGGCTCAGCGCTCCCACCAACACTGGAGACTTCTCACTGAGAGCTCTGCCTCCTACCGCCTGATGCTCTGATTGAAACACAAGTGTGTGTGTAGTGTACTGAGTATATAGCTGGTGAGAGAGACACTAAGTGTGACAGAGAGAGAGACAGAGGCAGAGAGAGAGAGAGAGAGAGAGAGAGAGAGAGAGACAGAGAGCGAGAGAGACAGACTGAGACAGAGACAGAGAGAGACAGAGAGCGGAGGCAAATCTGTTCTCTTTTTTTGCAAATGTGACAAGTAAAGTAGCCCAGATAGAAGAGGAAACCTCAAGCGGACATCACACTGTACTGTGTGTTACTGTGCTCATTAGCAGCATGTAGAGGAGTAGAATCAGGCTGCGGGCAGCTCATCATGCGTCATCCAGGGAGCGTTTAACACATTCACAATATATCCGTCCACAGAGCCAGTGTGCAGTCTGAGCTTCACTCTCACACACACACACACACACACACACACACACACACACACACACACACAGCTACGCAGTTTGCACATACCCTTGTAAAAAAAAGTGCAACATCGACATATAAACACAAACAAACACTTAGTCTCTGAAGAATCCCTTAAGAAGAAACACACACCGTTTTAAGCTCACAATTATATAAGCAAACACAACACAGTGAAGCACCTCCGCAATGCATCTGCTCCAAAATAAAGCCTCACTCCCAATCACTGCCTACCACTTTGTGCTTCTATTTCCTCTCACTCACCACTTGATCACAGCAACATCCTTTCCCCGCACACAGAGAGCTTCATGTTGAAGGGGCCAGCGATGTTTGACAGCTGAGCCTACCTCTTAAAGCCTGCCCGTAATGTGCTCATCGCTCCACCACCTGTAATACTGATCTGCTGACAACATCTACTGATGAAACGGGGACTGTCAGAGAGGAACTTTGTCATCGTGGTGTTGAATACAAAGCACAGAGTGGATTTGGGCCTCCTTGATATTTGATGTAGATATTTGATGTATTTCTTTCTATGTCTGTTGTCATGAGCCGCTGAGACAAAAAGCTTCAGGAATTACGGTAAGCAACAACAATGGTCTCTCTTGCCATTTGGATTTATTGCTTTCAAAAAGAAAGAAAAAAATATCTGCGCACCGCTGTCTCTCTTCTAAATCTTTATTTTTAACCACTCGAAATACTGTTCTTCAAAAAACCAAAAGGGTGTTTGAAGCAGCTCATCGTGTCCATGAAGTATACGGGACGCATTGAGAGTGAGACTCAGTCTGTAGCTTTTACCTTACAGCAGATAAAACCTGTTCACCATTATTTCTACACCAATCTTTAGCTTCAAATGAGGTCACAGACACGTAGCCACAATGAATCAGGGATAGATCCATAACCATGAGGCTCACATGCATATTCATGGTTTCCTTTGAAAGGTAGGAAGCTAAAGAATATTAATCTAATGTAAGGAAACATATTTATATTACCACTCCGGGGTTAATAAAGATGCAATAAAGGAAAAAATAAGATTTGTATGGCTGTTCTCTCAAAATGAGGTTCTCATACTGTGAGCCAGATATCTCCACTTCAGTAGCACTTAGCACTCAGTTTCATTCCTGTCTATATTCTGAAGAGTTTTGGAGTTTGTTCATTCATAGCCTGATGTATGGCACATAAAGGAGCGATGAAAAGAAATATCCAGAAACTCCCTCTGTAAAAACCTTTGACTCTCCTTTGTCCAATGTTCAGATTTCTCATTTGGAAATGTATGCAAAGAAATTACACAATATTTGTTTCATTAAAGATAACTTTTAGATTTGTTTACTACGAGCAGAGGAGGAATCTGAAAATGAGTTAATTGCCTGCTGGTGAATAATTCTGGCTGCAGAGGTGCCACAGAGACTATCATGCCTTTTTCAAAGTGGACTTGAACATCGACATGTCAGATTAGACAATTAGGGATAATTAGAGAACAAAGATATCATAATAATTAGTCTCAGATATAATATACGGGTAAAAGCTTTTATGACACTAATAGCAGCTCTGTGTCGTGCAATTCATACTATTGTAATGTGGTTCTTAGTGCAGCCCAAACGCATCTCATCTCAAATATGTTTTTCAGAAACAAAACAATAGAAAGAGACAAAAGCAATAAGCCAGAGAAGATAACAAAGAGTAGCTGATAGATGGAAACATGAGGGTTTCTGTTGAATCATGTGAGTGAGCGATCCACTCTGTACACTTACAAACGTCCCCAAAAAAAGAAGAGCAAATGGCCCCGATGAGAATGGGCCCAACAGACACAAGCAGCCCCACAAAACAGGAGAACCAACCTCAGGGCAAAACGTTTCTACCTCAAGCAGAAATAACATAATTAGAGTTATTCTGGATGTGTCAAGAGTTAGAGCTCCAGCTGTTTAACATGGAATTAATTATGACTCGTCACGTGAGGAGGTGTGCTGATGCTGAAGGAAAGTCAAACTTTGTGAACTGAAGATACTGAGGACTGACAGATTGTGGTTCTGTCAATCCACTGACTCCAGGTACCGTTACAACAATGCTCAACACAACCTCCACACCGAGACTTATTTGACGCTTTCTTTTTGGTTCAAAAAATAAAAATATGTTTTAAGTTTTATAAAATTCCATTCATTATAAAAAAAACATATGCAAATTTGAAAAATACACCATTTGCAGACTTCTTTTTTTCTACTCTGAGGGATTGTGGCGCACCTTCAGCAGCTTATTTGCATGTTTCTCTTCACCTATTTATATAGTATATTTTGAGCTAAAAGAGAACATTAAATAACTTTCCTTCTGTCTTTTGCAGAAGGAAACTGACATATTTTAACATAAGCATAACATAAAATCTAGGTGAAAATCAGTTAATGCATAAAGTAATGGCAGTTATAGCATACTGTCACTTTGTGGTGAGTGGATTAACAGAAAACCAATGCTACGCAAAAGAAACATCATTGAACAATGAAAGCTTGCAGACTTTGTGGCATCACCACGTGTTGGTCTTTCTGTTTCATGTACATGCTTTCAGCTTCATGATACAAAAGTCGAAGGCCAACACATCGTCTCGCATGCGTCGTTCTTACCCAGGTTGGTGTACGTGGCGCTGCAGTGGCTGGAGGCGGGAGAGTGGGAGCGGTGGGAGCGACTCCCGTCCTCCTCTGGCTCTCCGAGGCTGGCGCTGCCCTCGCTTGCCGAGGCTGGTGGGGCAACCTGGCTGGCATGGCCCCCCTCCCCAAACACCAGACCCAGATTCACTTTGGCAGGCAGGGAGGCGACACTGGGCAGCTCCGGATCCCTGGCATTGCTGGCGCTGACTGGTACCTGGCTGCAGATGACAAGAGAGAGGCATGGCTCGTACGGTTATGAAAATGTGAAATACTGGCTGCATTAACAGTCTGATTAAATTAGCATTGTTTTCTTTTCTCCCTTTTGTTTGTTATCTACGGTAATATTGTTAAGTTGGTTAATTATTCTGTTGGTGGTGGTGGTGGTGTTCAATTCTGCATGAAAATCTCTGCAAAACAAGTCGTAAAAAGAACCGGATGATGATAGCGAGCTCCGTTGCTGCGACGGTAGTGTTTATAGTAATAAACAAGCTGCTATCTGTCATCTTTCATTTTGTCTATGACAGATAACTGTATCTAACATCACAGGATATGAAGAAAACACATAAAACAATGCTTTTTTTTATCTGGGCAGTTGTTGTTTTTTCTAAGCTTTTAAATTGCTGTCTGCATCTCTTTGTCGGCTCATTTCTTTCTTCTCAGCAAGGGATGAATTAGAGTTACAGTTGTAAAGCGTGGGGCTCTTGAAGCCCGGTGTACTTTATATGCAACTACACATACGTTGCCTGAGGGAAAGGGTAAAAAAGCGACAAAGCAGGTCACAATGGTGTGTGAGAATGTGTTTTGAAGATCCCTCTGTGATGGCGGGGGTCTATGGTTTGAGGTGTTTGATGAGGTGAGATGAATTTCATCTACCACAGCAGATTGATCAAAAGGTGTGATGATGAGGTGACAGACTTAAATGTGATTATTAGCCGTCTTTAAAGAAAGAAAAATCAGATACAGAACAAAGTTGCAGGAGTGTATTAAGGCATTCTGCAGCATACAAGATAGACTAAAAAATAAAAATAAATTGATCTCCTTGTCTGCTGACTGATATATTTAAAGTGCAGTGACATTGATGTGAACTGTAACTTCATGAACTCCATGTGAGCAGTAAGGAGTGCGGCGTTAGGAAACACGACGTCTGTCGTCTTGATGATCTGTTGCGTTTTATGTGTTTTAATGCTGATCTCACAGAGATGAATAGATAATGTTCCCGATAACGGCGGCCATATACTTCATAACGTACTGACACTGGTCTAGCTGAGCACTAGAAATCTAGGTCATGGCTTACAGTTACTCAGAGTGTGTTGAGATCGCACAGTGACTCTAATCACAGTGTGAAGGCTCTAAGGGATGCTCTGACGAGACGTGTCCTACACTGTAGCTCGTTGCCTCCAGCAACGCAAGTTGAACGGGCGATCCGCCACATACGGTGTGTGTCGTCGTCAGGAAGTGACAGGACCACAATTGCACACGGGGCCTGTGTGTGTCACCATATCATCGCGCTGCCAGTAAAAATGTTTGACACGTCTGAAGTGGTCGGAAACCAGTTTGAATTGTAAAGGTGCCATGTGAAGTTTTTGAACGGGCACATCTAATATGTAACATGTAACACTAAAACTCTTTCTTAAAATAATTAAGAAATGGCCCTTTCAAGTCTTAGCAAGTCTTGTCTGTCAAATGTAGACCCAAGTTTTGAGATTGCTGATGGTTATATGAAACTTTCTACATCTGTTTTTTTGGTATCATAATGTCAATATTCAATTAACTAGCTGATGTACTTTTATCCCGTCCTAACACAAACATTGGCTACTCTAGAGCTGCTAAGTAACCAACAGCATTATGTCAAATTCTTACAGCCCTTCATATTAGATGTGCCCTTCATCTCAAAACACTTAACACGCAATAACACCGACAATGTGCTATGCAGAATGCAAACTAATGTATATAGGCATCTGGATGAAGCAGGGAGTGAAGGACAAGTGCAGCTGCACAAAAATAAGAAAAGCTAAAAATCACATTTCGTTCAACAAAGCCGTTGCTTTTAATTAAAGTTAACAACAACATCAAGTCACAATCAGATTTGTTTTTTTTCAGTCACCTGGGCATCTGTGTGTTGCTGCTCTGCGCTGATTGAACCTCAACAGCTGGTGTTTCATGGAGAGCCACCTGGGATCAGTCGTTCTGATCACAGTAAATAAGATACCCAAAGCAACCTGGTTACTGCCCTGTGATCTGATAACAGATCAGCCGTGGCCTTTCAAAGTGACCTGAAACTACAGCCTCGGGCCACCTGGGTTGTGACCACCCAGGTCCGGTGACATTCTAAACTACTGTAGATTTGAACCCTGATTGTAATACACAAAGCACCTGTGGCTGGCCCCCCTGCCACCTGCTCTAAATGTCAGATGTTGTTGTGGTGGCATATTGTTCACGGTTCTGGCACTGCTGTTTTAATCTTCTTTATCTATTTATCTTCTCTGTCCTTATGCTAAATAATAAAGAAAGTATCTAAAAATGAGCTCAAAGTAAAACACAAAAAGGTAAAATTTCGCAAAAAGTTCACAGAGCTGGTGCCATAGCCGCAGGTGATGTCGTGGGTGAGGCAGATGCCAGTAATGTTTGTATTAGCCTGAACTAGATGTGTCATTTCCTTTGACTATTGTCAATATGATTAATGATTTATGTGATCATGTGCAAAAGTCCCTACTAAGAAGAAGTATATGCAGCTCAGGTGATGACGTCCACCTGAGTGTTTTGAGCCTCAAGAAAACATTTTTACAGCGTCTTGAGCACATGTAAGAAGAACAAAAGAAAAACAACAAGCTGGCCAGTTATTCCACTCAGTCACAAAGAGTGTGAAAGTGCTGAAACTGACGCTGGCACAGTTGGGCTTAGAATACAGATGTTTTTAAGGTTTAAGTTCCACAATTAAACTCAGCAATATCTAATTTCATTAGCATGTCCTCCAGACACAATGGAAGCTAATCTAAAAACAACTGCTATTACACCACCATTTTGGAGACAAGCATTTCATACGAAAGTGTTTTTGCAATATTTTCAAAGAAAACACCGAGCTGCCCATGTGTCTGTCTCCACCCGGGGCTCTGTGTCTGAGGAAAACACCACAGCTGACATGTTTATGATCCGCCTTTGTAGCTCAAAAGTCCTCTGTGTCTCTTTTAAAGAGGGCCGATCAATAGCCTCTGAGATGCCACAGTGCATTACTTTTGCACTTGCCAACAGCAGACAGTGGATATAAAAGGCCCATCATGCTGTTGTGATCCGACTAGAAGACAAAGAGTAAGTAAACTGTGAAAAGATGGCGGCGTAAAGAAGGAGTAAAATTGCAAATAAAACCGCGTATACTGTAATAAAGTGTACTATAATAGATGTAGAAAAATTTACATAAAAAATGTGCCAGTGGCCTGACTTGTACATGTTTCCTCTTTTATTCTTCCCTATACTGTCTACACGAACAGGTGTCAGAACATAGTTCTGGTTTTAACTAACTGAACATATCGTACACAAGGGTACAAGTAATAAGTCCTACTGAAAACCAAACCATTAACAGATCATAGTCTACAAAACTACACAAGAGAGCATTAAACCACAAAGAGGACAATTCCCAGAACATAATCCTGTTTGAACAACACACCTTGAGAGGCCCTTGACACAATGAATACCTTTATGGCTGCTACAAGTTTCAATGTCAGGACCTGACTTGTTCAGACAGTGTGAAGCTGCCCCAGTGCATTTCACTGTTTAACAGACATCAAATCAACAATCTCTGATCCACAACACAGTCCAGGTAATCTCAAAAAGCCTCCCCTCCCTACTGAGTCAACAGGGCTTTGAATGGCCTAAATGGTCACAGCTAATCACAGCAGTGAATGAAAGCAAAGGGTTTCAGGTCTTACCCACTGTACTGGCTCACACAGCTTCCCATCTGGAACTCTTGAATACGAGGCAAAGCTGAATTCACATTCTAGGTAGAGCTGGAATTCCAGGACAGCCGGTTGCGAAGAGTCAAAAAGTATTTCCCTGCATGTGTTCCTTCCTCGTTCTCCCTCTTTCAATGCTTTTACCTGCCTACGGTAACGAGTTTTAGTGCTGCAGAGCACGCCCACCCAAAGCCAATAAAATGGCTTCTAGTCAAAAAAAAAACAAAAAACATTGTTAACTCCTCATCTGCCAATCAAAACAAAAAGGTCTGCAGAATGACCCGTGTGACCTGTTCATGACGTGAAATCCCTGACCTGCCGGTCGGTTTACCCAGAGACAAGTCAGGTTTTTAAGAAGTCCTTTTTCTGCTCTACAACATACATTTGCATATTTGTTTCACATGGAGACGTACAATACTACAATATGTCTGCAAAGGAGGTTAATGCCAGCATGTGGGACTCAAAATGTGTTATGCTGACATATTTTCAACAGCAAGGATTAACTAACAAATAGCTCATTTTAGAAACGGCTTTGGTTGCACACACACATTTTTCAAAAATACTTTAAAGCTCCAATACTTTGCAGAAGCACAAAAAACAAAACAAACCTATACAACCTTCTTTAAAACTGGAGGGACTGCAGGTAATAACAATCAGACTAGCTACTACAGAACGTTTCCCTGTGAGACACAAATACATTCTTTCTGCAGCCTTTGATTTTGTCACATCTTCTTTCACACCGACACAGCAATCTCACGCACGGCGGGCGAAGTTTAGCTATTTTCTGTTTATGGGTCAACTCAAAACCATGTGCCAATACCTGAGTTAAACATCAGACAGACAGGTAAGTAACACCGCTACCTTAATGAGTTAATCATTAAAAGGGATAGTGAAGGCTGTAAACAGCAGGGTCACAAAGGAAGAGACGGGTGTTCAGATAAGGCACACTAGACCAAAGTTGAGCTGCTGTAAAGTGTGATGTATTACACCTGGTCTGCTGTAAGTGTGACTTTGCATTGACTTATATTATTGTGGCTAGACAGTATGTGAATTTATTGTGTAGAATACTGCAGAACCTAATCATAGTAAGTGTCAACGTTGTTGGCAGGATATAAGTAAATTCATGTTTTTACAGCTGTTTGGTATTTTTCAGTCCTAATTGCTTATTATAAACAGGAGACGTATTTAGTTTGAGGAATATTATATTAGTTCATCTTCACTGCTGACATCACTCTGGGGACAAATAAATAAATAATGAGTAAGCCATCATCCTCTGTGTGAAGTGAGTTCTACATAGAGTACACCATCATAGAGCCAGTTTCAGCATGGCGTTACCGAGACAGCGCAGACTTGATTCTTGTGCCACTTGTTATAAAGTATGAGAAGAGACAGGAACTGGATGACTTGTGCTGAAACTTTCGGAGCAGAGGAAAAGCAAGGAAGCTGTAAAGGAGACAGAATGGGGACGAGTTGCTGACAGGATGGAGGAGAGAAATACTGGAGAGTTCACAGTGCTCCGGGCTCAAAGGAGAGACATGTGGCGTGGAAGAGGAGCAGAAATCACACCAAATGGAGACAGTGATGGTGGCAAGACAACCGACTTGAAAACAAATCAGAAGATATGGATGATATATCGGTGGCAGAAAAACAAAGAGTAGACAGAGGAAGGTGGAAGTCAAAATGTGACGGATCAGGTGAAAAGATGAACATCTGAACAAGCTGATCATGAGCTAAACGGTATGGAGGTGTGATGAATGCTGAGCAAACAATTCCACAGCGCTATTCCTACTAATCAGTGGCTGTGGGATGCATCGTGTGAAACACACTGGGAGCTAGATGACACTCTCCCGTTACATCGCCCAAAATACACCAAAGTCCAAATGCTGCACAGTGTTTGGCTTCAATTAGTTTTCTGTGTCGATTACAAAGTGAACGGGAGTGTGCTTTCTCTCACTCAGAAAATAACATGACACCCCAGGACCAGATAGTAAGGAAATACTGGAGAGCTTTTGTTAAGAGCAGCCGACTTTCTAACAGTAAATGCTTTCCTGTGACAAAAGAACCTTTTCTTTTAGTAGTTACTAATAGTCAGTTTGCATCATATATTTGGATTTCTTTGGGTGGGAACACATGCATGTACAGAATGTTACACACACTGAAAATACAGCACAGGTTTGATGAGATTTATTAGGAAATTACTACTTACTATTAGCCATGTACATTAGGAGGAGTCAGACGATTCATTATTGAATCACATCCTGTAGAACTTGGGATAAGTTTTCCTAAATTTAAAGTAAAAAGGCAGATCTTTTTTTAACCCTACTAGACTTCATTGATCCAATCATGTACATGGTATCTTAAGTTTGAATGTATCTTTCTGCAGTCAACAAACAGTAAGCTTGTAAATATTGTGCTAAAACAACGATGGAGTGTGCATTATCCAACTTGCTGTCTAAGTGATTAGTACTGCACATATATTATCAGTACTTTTACTCCACAGCTTTCCTGATGAATGAGGGTTTGTTTTGGCCACCGCAGCATCCATTTGACTGATCGCCATCTTTGAGCATATCTGGGCACTTAGCTTAATTTCTAATGCATAAACAAGTCACGTTCAGCAGAAAAAAAGCTTATAATTATGGACAGAAAATAAAGTGTTTCCGGCACATCTGGGTTATCTGGCACCATTAGTTACACCGCAGGAAACTTACCCCGAGAAATGAACACTAAGGGCAACAGCAGTGACAAATAATGAACTTATTATGCAAGAATACAGCAACTGCACTGCCAAGCAGACCGATGGCTGTGAGTTACTGTGTGTGTGTGTGTGTGATAGAGAGAGACTGGGGCTTTGAGGGGCTAAAGGGAATATGCCATCTAAAGCAGTGATTAATAGACTAAAGGTGGATCCAACTGCTGTTGGATGGCTTGTAACACACTGTGGGGTCCCATTCTGAAGGGAGACCTGCTAAGCACAGAGCCTGCTGTTCAGGTAATAGATGGCATTAAGGAGGAGACCACATAGGCGTGTCCATGCACTTGGCGAGCAGACATGCCAAATTAAGATCAAACACCTCTAGAATCTGTGATGAGCGATCTGTATGACAGTGGGAGAAGCATCCATAGCACTCTGGAGGAGCAGCTAGCAAAGGTTGAGCATCTTGATTGTAAGCTGGGGGCCATGAGTGCTCTGAAGGGAATGCATGTGGGTGATGGCAATGCGGGCATTGCATGTGAAATAATTCATTAGCTCAGTGAGAGGTGATGAAGGAAGAGCAAGCGTGGACTTTGACAGATTACCCAAAATTCCACTGCAGGCTTTAAAGACAAAGATATATTGAATGTAAAAGCAATATTCATCTTATAACAGCTCAAAGTATCGTTTACCTTTTACAAATCCCTGTTAAAGTGTTTTCTGGTGGAAAAACTTCCCCTTGAAGGTCAGTTGAGGCATAACTGTCTCGGTCTACAGGTCTTTTCTACTTTATGTACTTTATGCCCGAGTGCGTGTGTACCTAGCAAATAATAAGATGCCAGTTTTTGATCCTCATTAACCCTTACTAATACAAAGGGACATATGCACCTTGCCCTTGTTAATTCTTGGTTTGGGTTTATCTGGGAGTCCTCTGCAATAGGTGTTTAGTTTAGTATCTTTTGTGTTTTTTCACAGTATTCTCATGTTTAACATATTACCAACTGGGGACTTTGAATTGCTACCGTTACAAGCTTTACTCTGGTCATGGGGTATCTTTCAATACAGTGGCATCAGACATTAAAACTTTGGACAATCTTGGACAAGTACCTGAAATCCTTGCTGATGAGATGAAGAGATGTTGGCCCGGAGCTCAGAGGTCCAGATTCCTTGCTCTCATCAGGTGGCAGCAGTGCATTTTCTCTGCACTCCTCTACTCTTAGTTCTCCTTCTCCGTCACCAGGGGTGCTGCCGCTTTCTGGTTTGTAGGTGAAGACGATGGTTGGTTTCTGTGTGGGATCCTCTGGCTTGGCCTCGGTGAACCAATGATGCTGTTGGATGGGTGGCGGTGGAAGCATGTGAATGACGGTTCCGTCAAGCCCAACAAGCTTGCCTTTGTCCTTCTCTCTCTCCACCCTCTCTCTCTGCTCATCCTCATCTTTCCGCCGACGGAAAAAGCTCTTAAAGGAGATCCAGCGTTTGGGTTTAGAGCTTTCCGTTGAAAGACGTCTCCCCTCTCCACCTGGACTTGCTTCACCTTCACTTGGTCGTACAGGAGAACTGGAGGCAGAACTCTTGGTCCAGTTGCCAAAATGTCTCTGGATGATGTTAGAAGCGTGGTATGGGGAAGATGTAGATCTAGGAGGGGGGAAGGGGGCATTGGGTTCTGACCGGGGGCTGGAGAGTGGGACGGCAGCAGAGGCACTCTGGGATTTCGACAAAACTTTGGAGGGCGTGTCCTTTTTGGGTTTGGAAAGACAGCTGTCAGTTGCGGAAAAGAGAGACTTGGGCCGGGTGAGGGTCTCCTTCATGGCATCAGGTGGGAGGGCGTAAAGCTCCTCTGAGCTGTTATCATTGACTTGTATTGAGGGCGACTCTGGAGGAGACTGTGGAGGCTGGATGGAGGCAACAATTTGTAAAAGCACAGCACTGGCCTCCTCCCTATGGCATGCCACGGTCCCAGAGGACAAAGCTATGTCTGTATTGTCATCTTTACTGCAAGTGGCGTCTTCACTTGTCTTGCAAGTGTGTGCAACAGCATTGGCAGTAGGGCTGGTTTTAGGTAGGTTTGCAGTAATGGCAAGAATGGAATTTATTGATGTAGTGGGAGAGAGGGCTCCAACTGTGGAGCTCATCACAGTGTTGGTCACAGTTCTAGAGTCTGTAGTGGTTCGAAGATGTAAGTTTGGTGCTCTTGACACTGCCTCAGGTGGACCTTTTGTCTCTTCAGAAGAGGCTCTCTCTGATGTGCCTCTACCAGAGATGGTTTTCTCGGTTGAGGAGGACTGGACACTCTCAGAGGACCCAATCTCTTCATAAGTATGGCTTGTTACCCGACTGCCTACCCCTTTTGGCTGTGGCAGTTCCCCACTGAGTCCCAAGAAGCTCTTGTACACAGCTAGGTTGTCATATGCACTTGGATTGATAACAATAGGTACCTTAACAGCATTCTTGGAGCTGCGGGCATAGGCTGGTTCATCTCGAATTATAATGGGAAAAGGAGGCATGCCTGCATTATTGAAACTGTTAAACTTGATCTCTGATAAGTTGGAAGATTTCACAGGTACAGTTCGGGAGGAAGACAGCCCAGCAATTGGAGAAGTGGGAGCTGACTTGTGGCTGAGGTGTTGAGTAGGGATGGAGGGGCAAGGATTACTCCCAACCCCTAGATCCATTTTAGGTATCTTTTGGCGAGGACTTGTGCTTGATGTCCACACCTCTTGGTAGCGTATGTTCCCTGATTTCTTACGGTAGGTACCTGGCATTGCTACAGATGTGGGTGATGTTGGCATCACAGGAGAAGGAGAGAGAGGGGAGGTTGGAGACAGTGGCTGACCTAAAGGTGAGCTACAAAACGATGTAGGGCTGCAAGGCTTTGACATGATTTTGGGTTTTGGAGTAGAGTCTAGATTCTGTTCATCTTTGTTGGCCATGGATGCTGACACGTCCACCACGGTGTAAGGCTTACAGATCAGGGATTTTTCCAAATTCACTATACGGTACGGTTTAGCCTGCTCCTCTGTGGGACTAAAACTGATTGTGACAGGTTGACCTGGAAGTGCCTGGGGCATTGGCGTGCCTTCTCTGCCATCCTGCTCTTCTAATCTAATGGCCAGGACAGCCTTGTGTGTTTCAGTTACCTTGAGTGGACTCAGAGCTCTGTGGACGGGCTCCTTTTTGGGGGGGGAAGTGCAGACGACAGGTGCCTTAGAAGATGTGGGAGAATGCAAGCCATTTCGAAGAGTAAAGGGGGCACCGCTCCCACTGCTCGAAGTTGTTTGAGAATCTTCTGGTCGCGACGACGAGGATTCCGGAGAAGTGGTGGACTCTGAATTTGATAGGAAACCACTGCCTTGCATGTCATGGGGCCCATAAGGAAGAAGAGCTCCATTGGAGTCCATGGAGGGGTATCCATTCAAGATCTCATCATAGCTATCGTCATAGTCCACTGCACAAATCCGCTGCAGTGAGCGGTTGCGAAGTGGCACGGTATTCCACTTTTTCCCTGCAGCAAAGGGCACCGGAGACATTGTGGCGGCACGGAAATTTGAAAACCGTGGCTGGCCTCGCATTCGGATCTCCATGGCTAGTAACTCTTCATCACTTTCATCCCAGCTTTCATGTTCATCATCATCCCTTTCAGTGTCTTCGTCCTCATCCTCCTCTTCACTGGAAAACTCGGGGTAGCAAAAGCGACCACCTTCTGTGCTGATGACCTCAGAGCTGTCGCTGAGTGATACACGTTTTTGAGTAGTACCGCCGCCACCACAAGTGATGCTTCCCATGGCAAGACAGCTTGACGCTGGAAGGCCTCTTTCCAATGACCGTCGGTATGAACTACTGATTCTTCCCCAAAACAAATCCTTGGACCCGGAAAGGGGTGTGGTGCTAGGGCCAGGGCCTAACCCTGCAATTTCTTTGAGGACATCTGTAAGTCCACTGTTGTTATTTCCACTCGGGGTCCTTGGGCTAAGTTGTCTATAACCTTCAATCTCCTCACTGCCATCTTCTCCTTCGTTGTTGTTGCTGGGCCCACCAAGCCTCTTACAGTTCAGTCCATTGCGATTCCAGACGGTGAAGGCTGATGTTATGCCCTGTCCCAAAACATTTGGCGGCCGTTGCAGGTTGCCACCTGAATCCAGTCCTGCAGACGAGCAGGGCAGCATCATAGTGGGCTTAACAGCTATGGTTGGCTTCTTAGCCACAGGTGGACGGAAGTGTCCTGAGCGGGCAGACCCACTGCCGGCCCTCTGGGAGTTGATGGTAAGATTAGTGTTTGCTCTCGCCCCGGCAGGGGGTGGATTCTGTTGCTGAATTGTTGGGGACCTCTGCTCAGAAGGAGGCTTCCCTTTACTACTCTGAGCCAGACAGTGCAAACTCTTGGGTTTAAAGCAGTTCTTGCACTCGCCTGGTTTCCACACGTGTTCGGTGAAGGTGCTGCAGGCGGACATGGCTGCTGGTCCGGTGAGTCAGTGGACAGGAAACCCCTCCATGAAGCTACGGGCTAGAGGAAGTGACTGTAGTGCAACAATGATGAACACTATTCAAGCCTCAAATGTGGGGGGTACTGCACCTGAAAAGGAGAACAGGAGACAAAGGTATAAATGAATTTAAGTTTTCTTCAATTAAACATTTATTTGATATATATTTGGCACAAATACATCATCTAAACTAACTGCACAGAGTAGTTAGAAACTACGTTAACCAAAAGATTGACCCAAACTATCCCAGATCCCACTATACAATGAATACACTTTCACACACAGAGCTGAACTGAAGTAAAGAGGATACATTGGGGCAGAAAGAGGCACATAAACTAAGTGAGAGAGAGAATGAATTAGGAAGGTAGTGCTACATTTTCACCATTAGGTGGCAAACTTCCTCTACATAGCAGCCTGTCTATCCAGCGGGGCAGTCATCTGTCTCTCCCTACACCCTCAACTGGACCGGTAAGAATTGAAAAAGCAAAGGGGCAGACAGGAAGAGGATTAAGAGAGCTTATTTCTGAATCGCTGTCCTGTGTTGTTGTTGGCCATTTCAGCCGGGCTTAGGTGAGATAAAGGTGCTGATACTACACATTGAATCAAACACTTAATGTCCTAAATCCTATGAACTAGATCAATTACATGGAAAATGGAAATCAGAAGTGCTTCAGCTGAATTCACATGCACTGAAGTCTGACAGGTGGCAGTCAAGTCTGAATGTAGATTAGTTACATATTCTGTGTTTTCTGTTTTCCAACAAACTAGACTTGAAATTCAACAAGTGGGAGAAGTGTTTGGTAGTCTAAAAGTGGGGGTCTATGTATTTAAATGGATTTAATTTCTACACCCTTCACATTAGATGTGAATGTAAACAACCTTGAATCTGAAAGTTGGCACAAAGTAAGTTATTAAATCTAAAGAGCACGAGTATATTGCTAAAAAACAACCAAACAAATATGTCACTCTCCTTCTACTGTACTACATATTGGCAATAAGCCATCAATAATCACATGTGTGGATATTTAAAAAAATGGTTCCAAATGGCGACTAAAATAAAAGGTTTAAAAATTCACACCATTCAGTCTTTGCAAGATAACAAAGACTGACATGTTAAAACTTGAGCACAAGCATGGCATCAGGTTATCGGGACCAGCACAGTCATATCAGACACATCCTGTTTTCTTCTGCCGCCACGTCCCACAGCCTTTAGTTATTACACAGTGAAAAAGTATTCAATTAGACTACCAACACTTTGGATGAAATGTCTGGGTGCACCACTTATTTGCTGTATCAATCCATTTATAATAAGTGCCATGTTGCTTAAATAACCAGTTCAAATGAAGTTGTTACACAAAAGTCTGTTTGATATCACTCTTGAATCTGTATGTTACATAAGCTGGTACTGTTTCCACATTATTTCTACAACTGAAGCCCTGCTCTGGGCAGTTTAAGGAGAGTACACGGAAGAAAGTGAGGTCAGTTAATGGCATACAGGAAACAAAACTAATAAAAAAGCCATGAAACATTATAGAATAGAAGTAAAACACAATTTGGTTCTTTTGAGATAATCCCCTTTGCCCTGAAGCGCGTCAACATTAGCAGCATAGTTTGGTCTGATCATAAAGTCTCATCTTACCGTGGTTGTTGCTGTTGTCTTGTTGAAATTGTGTTATTACAGTGATTCTATTGTCGGTCTAATGCCCAATCAGTCATACCGATGCAGTCGAAACCAGTTAACTGACATTTCAGTTCTGTTTGTTTCAGTTCATTCATAAATGTTATTCAACCACAGCCCATGAAACTCACTCAAAACATGAGGTGAGATTCAAATGCATGGCTGACATTTAAATTGAATATATTTCGGCCTCTAGATTTTGTAGATACAAGGTTTAAAGATGAAAGATTTGTATTGAGCGATTGATCGTTCCCTCTAGACCACAAGACTATAGTTGTCTGCTGTACCAACCAAAAGAGAGAAAACACACACAGCTCATCCTAAAGGAAAGGGACAGGCAAGATATTACAGGCTTGCAACTGCTATTGACTATTCTCCCGGCTGCTGGAAGAAATCGGCTTTTCTTCCATGGAGATATATCAATAGTTTAGAGCTCCTTCCTGTAGCCAGGAAACCTGATTAAGTGATATTTGCTGAAGCGGTATTTCATCTACTGGCTGGGGTGTGATAGCTCATTCAGCTCTGTTTGACATGTGAAGGATTATTATGCAGCACTTGAATACAGTATTGAATCTGAGGAGATAAACCGTGTACATACTGTAGTGTGAGATATCTCAGAGAGATGAACTTTTAGATATTGTTTGACTTTGGATGATGATAAATCAAATAAATAATGGCCGCACAAACATTGCCCAATGAATCCTTAAAGAGTGGAACATACAATAACTGGAAAAAATCAATAAGCGTATACAACCCTGGCCCTCCATCTCTTCCATTCTGCTATAATTCAAGAATGTGTGTCGTTTCATGGGTGACCCAAACCTTCACTTCATCAAATGAAGCTGGGACGATGCTTCACTGTGGAGCTGATATCGACGGGGGCTCCTCGCATCCATCTAACAAGGTCATAGGTGTCACATCCTGCACGGAAGGATGTTACCATGAAAACGCCCCAAACCTGCCCGGGGCCAGACACAATGAAGCAGGAACTCCTGAATCAAACTTTGCTGACCGAGCCGCAATGGGCAGGGGGGGGAAGATTTATCCTGTTACACCGCAAAGGCAGGACAGGAAACAAAGGCTGTAATTCAAACAATATCATCCAAAAAGCTGCCGGATGGACGTGACACGTACGCACTGTTTCTGTGGCAGACTTTCAAAAGCACAGCCCAAAACAAATAAAATAAAGAATTACTTTGTGTCATTACAGTAAATTTGTTGCTCCGCAGATGGAACTAAAGCAGTACTTTGCTCATTTACAACAGCACCCAGAATCCTTTTCTCTCATGCTCTTGTCCTCCTTGAAACACGACGGGACACACTTTGTTTTGCACAGCTGTAATCCAGCTGTTGTACAAGTATTTTTCATGAGAAGGCATGAAACAAGTGCAATTAACATGGATTCCAATATCTTTTTGCACATTGAGACAAAGCTGAATTTGCTTTTAGGAGATCGACACCAGACATTATTTCTTCCCTGACAGACAGCAAGATAAAGATACTTTGTTCAAACGGGCTAGATGGAAGTATGAAAAGCATCTCCCTTGCTGCGTTCTAATAAGATAATTCAGTTTTCCATGCTTTTGTGTTTCTGAGAATCAAGAAATATCCCATGTGTGTGACGTCGTCGCCTCTTTTCCACCAACAGAAACCCTCAGTAGAAAGGATGTGACAGCATATTTTACTTTTCCCTCAGCCACCATTAAAATTCCGTCGTTGTCTTGAATACATTTTTTCCTTCCCTCTACAGTCGGGGGCTGATATGACACTCCCCTCTAACAGCCAGAAGAACATTCTTCTGTTTTAGTTCATCATTAAGCCGAAAGGCAAATATTAGTGCCATGTTGTTACTGACGAGAGCGCCCGTCGCTTTATCTAGAGTGACAGTTGTGCCTCGAGGACACCAACCGTCCCATCTGCCCAATAATCCTGAAAATCCCGAAATCATGAAGTCTAGTATTTTCAGTTCACACAGCTCAAATCATTAAAATATGATAACTCCAGATGCCACACACAGAGAAAGAGAGAGAGTGGGGAAACCTCCGTCTTATGTAACCGTCTTTGGTTGAACATGAAAATGATTCTATCCACCGTTAAACTCGTTGCAATTCAAGTGTTCCTACTCGTGCCCATCAGCCAAACAATGGACTGCTATGTTTGTGTTCCCTTCATTATGTAACAGATATTACGCAACACAATAGAAATGGGATGAATTACAATACAGCATATCTGTTTGACTACAAAACGCTCCACAACACAAAGAAACACGCACACACACACACACACACACACACACACACACACACACACACACACACACACCATTTGTGTCTTCCTTAGGTGGGATTGTTCTAGAATATGGTCTGTATAATAGACAGTGTGTTTTTGATCCGGTCTTTGCGTGTGTCCACAGTGCGACTCTGCAACATATTTGATTGGAGAGATATGAAGCGGCACTAAGATGCAGACAATTATTGGAAAACGTGGTGCAGTCGGACATATTTTCTCTCTTCCTGCAGGTTTCTGCCTCTTCTTTTCCTCCAGATGTTTTCTGACTTCACCGTCAAAACCTCAGTGAAACCTATTTTATGGAGTTACAGCTAACCACCTCTAATATTATATTATATAATATTAGAATTATATATATATATATATTATAATATTATATTCTATATTGCATATTATTTCCTAAAAAGTTGAGAAATACAAAAAACAAACAAATGCCGGCTATAACTCGTCTCCACTGATGAAACATTGGTATTGATGTCTGCTTAGTTATTCTCCTCAGTCTTGTTTCTGTTTATCACTGCCGTGCCTGTCATGCATATTTGATGAGGCCGAGGCATTAGTGTCGATGATTGAAATGGATCCCTGAGGCATAAAGACTGATGACTGTCTGAGCTGAAGGAACGCCTGCTCTCCGTCAAACGTGTAATTGTATTCTGTCGAATGAGATTTAGAAAGATAAAAAGTACACGATCAACGCAACGCAGAGCCATCTGTTTCCTGAGCAGGAGTCCGAGACACTGGACACGCTGGGAGCAGTGAGTTTGTGTTTAAGTTGCGCTTCCATTGTTGCGTTTGCGGGCCATTTAATAAAGTAATAATGATGAGGCCCGGGCATGGAGCCTGAATCGGTACTGTGTGTGTGTGTGTGTGTGTGTGTGTGTGCACGAGCCAATCATAAGAAGAGCTCAAGCCTAGTGTATTTGTTCACTCTGCTCAACACTGCGTCCCATTGCGCTACACTTATTTTGTTTAGTAAATGATCATTTTCATGCATCAGGACACTGCTCTCTTCTTTGCAGATTACACTGTCAGAATCCATCTGGACCCAGACGCTACAGCCTCCATCATATAATTGTATTAAGTCTGTTGGGGACCAGAAGTTTAGATCACCTGCCAGTTCCAATG